GGTGTCGGACTCGAAAACTTACATTTCGTGGCCTAGTCTAGACAATTTTGACAACCTCCTGGTTGTTCAAGTGTTCCCAGAGACAGTCCGAAGTGAATACGGGAAACTGGTCCTCTGGATGGAGTTTATGTATTGACAATGATGGCTCGGCGCTGAGGATCGGCTTTTGAAAGGATTCGGGAAGTCTAAATTTAGGCAGGAGAGGCTCTTTGTTGAATTCTGTCTTCTTTAAATATGCATCACCAATGAATCTTGAAACCTGTATCAGTGTAGAGAGTAGTTGCAGGAAGTTATTCTGTTTGTACAGTTAGAGAATTTGTTAGTTAGTTACTGGGTAGTTAGACTCCTAGCTGCTGTATAAATACTTTAGTTTGTAATCTTATACTGGTATAAGAAATGAAGTATATTCAGTATTATCCAAATTATACATTTTAACATGGTATCAGGAAGGTTCTTTCTGGGCTATTGGGTTATTGGGCTTCTGCTTTACTAGTCCCATTTTTCATTTCTCGTTTCCCTTTCCCGTTCTACGATTTTTTTCCTTATCTCTTCGATTCTTCTTCGTGATGCCTCCACAGGACATTTCAGAGATTGATTTCACGCATCCCTTGTATCTACACCCGTCTGATACACCAGGTGCTCTTCTCGTTTCTCATCAACTCACTGGCGTCCATGATTATAGTATTTGGAGTCAATCGATGTGGATTTCTCTGCTTGCGAAGAACAAATTAGGGTTTATTGACGGCGTATGTCGTCGGTCTAATTTTGTGGAGCAACTTCAACCACAATGAGATAGATGCAATGCAATTGTTCTTTCGTGGTTAATCAATTCAGTCAGCAAAGATCTTTACTGGAATTGTTTTACCTCCAGCGCTGCTCTTGTGTGGTCTGATTTGAAAGAAAGGTTCGACAAGGTTGATGGTTCTCGGGTCTATTTTTTGCACAGAGAGATTGCAACCCTCGTCCAAGGCGATTCTTTAATTTTGTCATACTTTACAAAGTTGAAGCTTCTCTGGGATGAATACGGTGCTTTGGTGCCTCTTCCTTCGTGCGATTGTGCTAATGCCCAGCAAAACACTGCTAATGCTCTCCAGCAATGCCTTTTCCAGTTCTTGATGGGCTTGAATGAATCACACTCTGCTGTGCGTAGTCAGATACTTCTGATATAGCCATTACCAAGCGTTAATCAGGCTTATTCGATGATGGTTCAAGAGGAGTCTCAACGATCTCACTTTACTGGTATACCTTCATTAACTGATTCTACTGCTTTCTATTCTAATGTCTCTGCATCTCCTGGCAGTGTTGGTCGGCGTCGGTTCAATGGTGTTTGTGACCATTGTAAGATTAAAGGGCACAAAAAGGACCAATGTTATCGATTGATTGGGTTCCCTACTGACTTCAAATTCAATCAAAAGAAGGATGCTTCAGCTGCTCTTACTGGTCAGCTTGAAGAACCTGTTACTGCTTCAGCTCCTCATATGCCCTCTGCTCCAGTCTTTACTCAAGAACAGTAAAACCAGATACTGAGTCTGTTACATCAAACCCCTACTTCTGAGCCCTCTGTTAATTTTGTGGGACAAACTTCAGGTACTGATTCTTTCATTCATTGGATCTTGGACACTGGTGCTACTGATCACATTACTTTTGAATTCTCTTGCTTGATAAATCCTGTTGCGTGTGCTTCAAAGAATCATTTTGTTCATCTTCCTAATGGTAAAAAGGCTCTTATTACCCATACTTGTTCTTACATTCTGAAAAATAACTACATCATTCACAATGTTTTGTATGTCCCTGAATTTATAAATAACATTCTGTCAATCACTAAACTGACAAGTGAGCTTCAGTGTGTTGTTTTGTTTTATCCTGCATTTTGCATCCTGCAGGACATCTCCAGTGGAAAGATCAAGGGGATTGGTAAGGAACATGGAGGTCTTTACTTGCTCGAGTCTTCTTTTGCATCATCGGGTTTGAGTTCATCTTCTATTCATGATTCTTCTTTTTCAAATTCCTCAGTTTGTAAGCTTGTTGATCATCATTCTTCTACCATTACTGAACTTTGGCATGCTAGGCTTGGGCATGCTGCCATTAATAAAATTCACAAATTGCTTGTTCTTCAGTATGTCAAATTCAATTCTAGTGATGTACAACATTGTTCAGTGTGTCCTATGGCTCGACAAACACGTTTGCCATTTCCTTTAAGTACCTCTAGAACGGATAATCCTTTTGCATTAATTCATATTGATCTTTGGGTATTCTACTCATAGTGGACATCGTTATTTTCTTACCGTTGTTGATGATTTCAGTCGTATGACTTGGGTGTTTTTATTAAGACTTAAAACGGATGTTGTTCTTCATTTAAAAGCCTTGTTCCTCATGATTAAAAATTAGTTCACTACTTCTGTTAAGATAATTCGTAGTGATAATGGGTCTGAATTCTTCAATTCGGTTTGTTCTCCTTTGTTTTCTTCTCTTGGCATAATTCATCAATCGAGTTGTGTTCGTACTCAGCAAAATGGGGTAGCTGAGCGTAAACATAGACATTTACTTGAGGTTGTTCGGGCCCTCCGTTTTCATTCTAAAGTTCCCTTAAAATTTTGGGGTGAGTGTGTCCTTACTGCGTGTTATCTAATAAATAGGTTGCATTCTTCTATTTTGTCTTGGCTTACTCCATTCGAATTGTTGTATAAAAAGCCCCCTTCCTTGTCTCATATTCGTATATTTGGGTGTCTTGCTTATGCAACTCAAACTCATGTAACTGACAAGTTTGCTTCGAGAGCCATTCCTTCTGTGTTTCTTGGTTATTCGTCCACTCAAAAAGGCTATCTTCTATTTGATCTTGAAAAAAAGTTTTCTTTGTCAATCGTGATGTTGTTTTCCATGAATCTGTTTTTCCTTTTAGGTTTCCTCAATCATCTGATTCCTTTTTTCCTACTCAATCTTATAAGGATGATTCTGAATTCTTGGTTTTGTCTCAACCTCCTGTCTCTCTTGGTGATTCTTCCTCACCAGTTTTATCCGAATCATTGGAACCTTCAGTTATTCCATTACGTAAGTCTTCTCGAGCATCTAGACCTCCTACATGGCTACACGATTATGTGCGTTCCAATCAGTCTTCTTCTTCTTCTATTTCCACCTGTGAGTACCCTCTTATTCATAATGTTTCTTATGCTCATTTACCTATTCATACTCAACATTTTCTTGCCACCACTTCCTCCATTGTTGAACCACAATCCTATTCTGAAGCCATTTTAAACCCGATTTGGATTAAAGCCATGCAAGAGGAAATTCAAGCCTTAGAAAACAATGGTACTTGGTCTGTAGTATCTTTACCTCCAGGAGTGAATCCCATTGGTTGCAAATGGGTATTTCGTGTCAAGTATAGAGCTGATGGTACAATTGAGCGTTTTAAAGCACGTCTTGTTGCTAAAGGTTACAATCAAAGGGAGGGTGTTGATTTTGTTGAAACATTTTCCCCTGTTGCGAAGTTAGTCACTGTACGGACAGTTCTGGCCATTGCTGCTATGTATGATTGGTCTCTTTTTCAAATGGATGTGCACAATGCATTTCTGCAAGGTGATTTATTTGAAGAAATCTACATGAAATTGCACGAAGGTTTTAGCAGCCAGGGGGAGAATATGGTTTGTCGGTTGCAAAAATCTTTTTATGGTTTGAAGCAAGCTTCACGATAATGGAATTTAAAACTTACTGAAGCATTGGTAGCTGCAGGATATCAGCAGAGCAAGTTTGACTATTCGATGTTCACAAAAAAGGAGGGTGAAAAATTGGTGGTGATGCTCATTTATGTAGATGATCTCCTTTTAACTGGTAATGATTCAGCCTTGATTAATGAGCTGAAGGATATATTTGAATTACAACTTTAAGATGAAAGATCTGGGAGAGTTGAAATATTTCTTGGGGTTTGAGGTTTTGAGGTCAAAGGAAGGAATCATATTGAATCAAAGGAAATATGCTCTAGAGCTGCTAAAGGAGACTGGTCTTGAAGGAGTTAAACCAGCCATGACTCCTTTGGAGCATAATTTGAAGCTTACTTCCACAGAATATGATGAGCATTTGCAGCAAGAGGGAGATGAAGTATTGGTTGAAGAAAAGTCAACATTTCAAAGGTTAATTGGAAGATTAATATACTTGACACATACTCGGCCAGATATTACATTTGCAGTGCATCATCTTAGTCAATTTATGCAACAACCAAAGAGAACACATTTAGAGGCAGCATTGAGAGTTGTCAAATATTTGAAGAAGGAACCAGGTCAGGGGATTCTGTTGAAGAAAGCAAGCAAAAATCAGTTGTTGGCATATTGTGATTCAGACTGGGCTTCATGTCCTATGTCAAGAAAATCAGTTACTGGTTTTTGTATAAAGTTAGGTGATTCTTTGATATCCTGGAAATCAAAGAAGCAGAATACGGTAGCAAGATCCTCAGCCGAAGCTGAATATCGAAGTATGGCGGTTGTTGCAGCTGAAGTAGTATGGTTAAATGGCATTTTAAAGGAGCTACAAACTGACCTTTCGAAACCAGCAAAGTTGTATAGTGATAGTAAAGCAGCTTTGCAAATTTCAGCAAATCCAGTCTTTCATGAAAGGACTAAGCACATTGATATAGATTGCCATTTTGTTAGAGAAAAGATACAAGAAGGAATGATCAAGACCGAGTATGTATCATCTTCAGAACAGCTTGCAGACATATTAACTAAAGCACTTGGATTACAACAACACAATTATTTGATGGGCAAACTGGGGATGAAAAATGTTTTAATCCCTCAACTTGAGGGGGAGTGTAGAGAGTAGTTGCAGGAAATTATTCTGTTTGTACAGTTAGAGAATTTGTTAGTTAGTTAGTGGGTAGTTAGACTCCTAGCTGCTGTATAAATACTTTAGTTTGTAATCATATACTGGTATGAGAAATGAAGTATATTCAGTATTATCCAAATTATACATTTTAACAATCAGGCCCTTAACACGCCAGGCTTTGTGTTTTGTCACAACAATATGTGGATCATTGGAATGCAACTACCGTAGCTCGTCTCATACGGTACTGGAACTCGCATTTTGTTCGGTTGATAACTGCATTGCCAGTTAGTTCCGCTTACTGATCTGCCTAGGACTACCCTGGAATCACCGGCGGGTGCAATGTATAGCAGCCCATTGCAAATCACTCCCGTCAAACAGCACGATCCGACCGATGCCATTTGCGGCTTAACGAGCCATTGTTTCCTCACAAGGGAAAGAAATTCGTCTTCTGTCACCAAGAAAGCCTTTATGAGATCATTTATCGATATGTCTTGATTCTCAGACACGTGCTGCACATCAAGGGAAACATAATAAGCCTTTCTGTTGCCAAGTTCATATTTGAAGGAACAGCACAGAAATAGACTTACACTTAAAATTGCAAAAAAGGTTGTCATTGCTGAAGCTGGAAGCCTCAGGTCCACCATGTCCATCATACACACCGATGACAGTCACGTACTGACCAAAACGACTCGAACTCAACAACCTCAATTGGAGTTGGCTTCGATCCTCCAACAAACTATTGACTTGAATCACTGCCATCGAGAAATCTCCATAAACATGTTGCCCCAAATCTTTATACCACAACAAGCCATCAAGGCACCCTCTAGAATCACACTCAATAGATGGCTTCCAACAGGATTTAACCATTTTCAGGTTTCTGTTTGTTCCACAATGTTTAGAAGTATATAACCATGAATTCAGACACCATGTTATTACCTGATGGGCAAACTCCACTGCAATGTTTGTGTTTCAGCAACAGACTGAGGTGGAAAAGCACCTTGGGATTCGATAGAGACAAGCTTTGGTCTGAGATCAAAGTGATGAAATGAAGCAATGGATAAGAGGAGAGCTTGGGATTTTTCTGGCAGATCTTGAGCTTTATTTTATGTAGTCAGAGGAGATCCAAGATGAGATTTTAAATCACTTTCTGACATTGTTGTTTTTGTTCCCTAGCCACATGTTCTTGTGTCTTTTGCCCTAAGCCTATTAGATTATTGCATGGCTGAGATTTCAAGTTTCATTTATGTATCAGTAATGAACAAACCCAAGGTTTTAGGCAAGTTTTGTTCATAATTTACTTTACTCAACCATCATTCATGATTTATAAACATTCTGTAATTTCTTCCATCAGTCCTACATTTATGATTTAGATAGATAGTTATAATCGATAAAGATATAAATAATGATCGTTGGTCAATGTTTATTTGTGAGAGACATGGAAACGTAAGGGGAAGATAAGAGTGAAGAAGATAAGAAAGTTGATAGGATAACAATGACTACTCATAGCATGTTAAATAATTCTGATCGTTAAATATTATATTTTACTTTCTCATAAATTATATAGGTTTGTCAGAAGTCTTGTCTACGCATTGTAATTGGCTCAGAGATTATAATAATTTTATCCAGTAAGTGAAGAAGTTTATCGAAAAAACCGACAAAGAGTCGATAGTTTTCAGAAGTAACCTATAAAGATATAGCATTTATCTTCAAGATTTGTGATTAAAATCATGGTAAATCATTCTCTTGATTAGATAATTGAATGGCTGAAAAGAAAGGAGTGAAATCTTTGGGTTCACTGGATATGTAAGGATAAATTTAGGTATTAAACGTGTAGTTTACCCTTATTTATTTATAATTTCTCTATGTTGCACAACTCAAGCAATATCAATTATTACATGGATAGTTTTTATCTTTAAAAGTCTTGAATTCAAACATGTCATTTGCAGAAGTATTTGAACGTTCATTATCAAATGATTGAGAGTATTTCGAACATATATTATCTTATAATCACTCAATCTAATCTATAATGCGAGAAATGGAAAAAATATACAAGGCCAAAACTTTGTAGCCCAAATCAATGTACTAAATTGGAGGGTTATATCATAAGGATATAAATGAAACAAGATAGATCACGAGTTATTCGAGTTTGATTTGATCAAAGTTTGGTTGACATTCAAATCAAATGGACTTAACTCGAGCTCAAACTCGATTTGAATTCTTAACGAGTCGAAACTAACTACTTAATATCCGATTCAAAAAGTTTACAAGCTACTACAAAAATAAATATTTTTTAAATTAAATTATTAATAATATTAACATTAAGGTTCGAGTTCGAGCTTGAACCGAACTCGTGTTTAAGCTTTAATCGAGCTAAGTCTGAGAATGTTTCGAATTCAAGTTTTTTCGAGCTCGAGTTAAGCTTTAATTTTTTATTCCGACTTCGAGTCGAACTTAACAATTTTAAAATCGTGAGCATTTGAATTGAATCAAACTCAACTTAAAACTTTTCAAATGGAACTCTACTCAATCGGTTTACAGCCGTACGCACTCCCACATCACATGGCATGAGAGGGAAACTTTTTTTAACACCAACAAAATAATCTATCTTTTCCATTTTGTACCAATGCAAGAAAACATAACATCTGTCGCTTGCTGTTTTATTATCTAAAATGAGACACTGATTGATGTTTACTTGTATGAATTCAAGACGGTCCGACCCTAATCATTTGTCTTCTTTCCATTGAGCTGTGAATTCTTTCTCTGGCATGCCTTAGAACATCAAGAACTTCACCTACACTTTTTCTGACTATGCGTATCTCAGGGACCGGCTTTGTTTCTGGGAGCTCCAAAGGAACCAATGCCAATGAGTTATCAACATATTCATCATCATCTTCATAATTCATCGTGTTAATCTCAATTGTTGAAGGTTCCAAGCTTGAAGAACTGATCAAATGGATGGTACAAAGTGATCAAATTATAGTATGTTACATGAAGGATAAATTTGGGAATCAAAGTGGGTACCTTGTATGGCTTGAACTTTAGTTACTGCTGAATTTCTCATATGAAGACTTGTCTGGTGCAGTTTCCTTCACATTTTCTGAGATTTCTGGGGCTGTATTTTGAGACATTGAATCAGATTTTGATGAGCATGACCTTTCTGATTCTTCTAAATCAAGCAAAATTTTGAGGGATTCAAGCTTTTTCTTCAACAACCTTGATTTAGTCTCTTGTTTGAGTTTGTTCTCAAGTTCCAGCAGCTGCAGATTCAAGAACAACAAACACAAATTTCAGATCTTTTTAAAAAACTGAAACATAAAGTAAAATGCTTAAAACCCAGATTGATAGATTCAAAAACTTTACCTTACTTTCCATAAGTTGAGCATCTTCTTTAGCAGCCATGGATGCTTGTCTCTCAGCAAGAAGCCTTCCTCTCAAGCACTCAACAGTCCTCATTTTATCATCTCCTCTCATCTTCTTTTCACTAAACAGAAGAAACCCACATTAGATTATGAAGCAGCCAAGCAATTAAGAAGCACAAATGATAAAGAAAACAGAAAAAAAAAGAACCCCCTTTCATTTGATGTGAAGCAATCATTTGCATTGAACAATGATCTTAACTTTATCCTATTGCTTAAAGCTCTTGCAATGACTTAATTTCAGTAATCAACAACACATCAGTGTTCAGTCACTATTCAGTAAGCAACTTTGTACAAAACAAAAAACCCTAAAAGAGTAAGCTTTAGCCTGCAGTAAACAATGGTGTTCTTCTTCCTCTCTTGTTTTTTTCCTTCAAAATTTTATTTTGTTTTTTCATCTTGGGAGGAAGAATCTTTTTCTGATGGCTCAAAAATAAAAGATAAAATGGAAATAAATAAATTATAAGTTTTTAATGAAATAAATAAATAATTTAAATATTATAAGTTTAATTTAATTTATATAAATTATTAAAATTGTCATTAATATAGTATTATTTTATTTAAATATTACGCACACAAATAAGTATATATATATTAATATAGAAATAAGTATCTTTATTTTTTAAAATATATTGAATTAAAATTTCATCATGCAATTGAATCAAAATCAGAGTCTCACTATCTCAAAATTTATTAATATTTCTATTTGTGATTCAATCAACATAATTATATATATCAAATTTCATTTTAATCAATTTTGTTTAGTATAACACAATATTATAAAACTCCACAGTTATTTATTTATTTATCTTTACCTAACCTCTCTTGGCCTGTGAAGCATATAGCTTTAAGCACAATCATGACAATCATGAGGTGAACCACTGTTGCTTTTTTTAGGCGATTTTTTCCAAAAAAAGCATATTTTTTTAATTATTTAAATGTTATATATCGTTAGAGAAAATATTACGGATCTAACACTCTTTGTAAAAAGACGCGACCCATGCACCGCGCCTTACGTTACGTGTTGAAAGACACAGCCCATGCACCGCGCCTTCTGTCACATGTAAAGATCGGGTGTTAGTTTCATAATTTTTTTTCAAAATGGTGTTTAATATGTAATTAATTTTGTTAGTGTAATTTTTGTGAATTTTTTTGTGTGTGCCAAAAAAAAATTATGTATTAAAATCTTTAAATATTCTTTTATAAATTATTTTATAAATTGAAAAAATATTTAATTTTTCATGAAATTACACAATACATATAATTTAGTATATAAATATTTTGAGGGTAAATAATTTAAAATATGAATAATTTTAGAAAAGTTTTATAACTAGTATTTCTTTTACAAAATGATGAAGATGATGATGATAAGAAATATTTTATAATTTTAAAAATTATAAATTTCATATATTTTTGAAAAATTTATTGACTTTTAAAATTAATTGTTTAAAATATAAAAAATAATTAAAATAATCTTTTAATTACAATTGAGGGATCAAATGAATTATTAGTCATTAATTATTATTTTTTAACAACAATTAATAATATTTATTCATTTTTAATAAAATTAGAATTTAATATTTATTTAATATTTTTTAAAATTAATATTAGAAAGAATATTTTAAATATATAGGTGATATTTTTTATCTTTACATTCTTTTTGTTATTGAATTTTGTTACAAGTTTAGAGAGTAACACAAAAGAAAGGAAAATCTTTAGATTTTTATGTATGTATTTATATTTTTCTTTAAAAAAATATTTTACCATATTTTTTTATTAATTAATTTGAATAATAGCATAATAAATGGTTAATTTTAATTATAACTCATATATTTAAAATTTAATAAAAATACAATAGAAAAAGAATTAAAAGTGAATAAAATTCAATAAAAAAGAAGGTAAAACTAAAAAATATCACATATATATTTAAAATATTCTTTCTAATATTAATTTTAAAAAATATAAATAAATATTAAATTCTAATTTTATTAAAAATGAATAAACATTATTAACTGTTGTTAAAAAAAATAATTAATGAGTAATAATTCATTTGATCTCTCAATTGTAATTAAAAGTTTATTTTAATATTTTTTTTAATATTTTTAAATAATTAATTTTAAAAGTCAATAAATATTTCATGTAAAAATAAAAAATTTTCGAGTTATAAAATAATTTGCAAAAGAATATTTAAAGATTTTAATATAAAAAGATTTTTTTACACAAAAATAAATAAACAAAAGTTGACGTTTTTACACAAAAATTACTCTAATAAAAATTAATTACATATTAGTCATCATTTTAAAAATTTACGAAACTAACACTCAGTCTTTACACGAATACGCGGTACATGGATCGTGCCTTATTTGACGTGTCGCCACATCAACGTCATCTACCACGTCTTTATGCAAAAGGTGTTAGGTACATAATATTTTCTTTAACAATATCTGACATGTAAATAATAAAAAAATAATTTTTGAAAAAAACATCATTTCTTGAGAATAGAAAAAAATTGAAAAGAAAAATAATTATATTTTAATATATTTTAATAAAAAATATTTAAGTAATCAATTAAATATTATTATTATTTGAATAAAGAAGAGGTCAACGATCATTCCAGGATGAAATTAATTGCGAATGAAAGCAGGGCAAAAGTTCTCATATAATGCTACAGGGAATTTTTAATTCCCAAACTAAAGTACTCATCCGATTAATTCCTCAAATGGGGTGTTTTCTACAGTAAATTTGGGATCTCTCGGCGTCTTCAGGATTAATCAGATTTTTGGATTATTTATTGGGATTTCTAGGCGTCTTAGTGGAATTCATTAAAAAATTTAGTTTTTTTACACAAATATCACCTTAACATAAATTAATTACTTGTTAAGTACTGTTTAAGAATATTTTACGGATTTAACAAATTTTTAAATACTTTCTATAAATTTAATCATATTTTGTATTAATTATTTTATTATTTAATTTTTATTATTTAATTTAATTATTTTAATTTTTTACAGTTTTAAATTGGAAAGTGATCCTTGAATAATTATATTCGTATTTCTCGGCTTTTAAACTTTTCTCTTGGCTGTAAATACGCTCTCAACCTGTAAACATTCACATCAATCCTCTAAACTAGAAGAATGTCGTCGCTTCAGTATATATATCCACGTGTTGAGAGCGTATTTATAGCCGAGAGAGAAGTTTAAAAGCCGAGAAATCCGAATATAATTACTCAATGACCACTTTCCATTTTATAACTGCAAAAAAATAAAATAATTAAATAAAATAATAATAAAAAATTAAATAATACAATAATTAAATAAAATACTAACAAAATATGATTAATTTTATAGAAAGTATTTAAAAATTTGCTTGATCTGTAAAATATTCTTAAACAGTGCCTAACAAGTAATTAATTTATGTTAAGGTGATATTTGTGTAAAAAGGCCAAATTTTTTCATGGATTTCAACTAAAAACGCGAGATCCAAGCAAAGAGTAAAAAAAATCTAGTTCACCCTGAAGACGCCGAGAAATCCTAAATCTACCATAGAAAACACAAATAATCCAACACCCTGAAGACGCCGGGAGATCCCACAAAAAAATTGGTTAACCCTAAAAACGCCGAGAGATCTCAAATTTACTGTAGAAAACACCACATTTGAGGAATTAATCGGATGAGCACTTTAATTTGGGAATTAAAAATTCCCTGTAGCATTATATGAGAACTTTTGCCATGAAAGCAGGCCATGAAGGTCCCGAGAGATATGAGGAATGATTTCCGGGGGAACATCTGAGAAGATACGTAAGAGACCATCATTGATCGTGAAAAATTTTGCAAGGAAGTCAGCAGCGTTCGCTTCACGACGAATAAGGAGGAAATCCAGCATCCATGGCTTCGACATTAGACGGGCAACAGAGCGAACAAGACCAATGAGATTAGAGTGAGCTAACGGAGACGAAATCAGATGAAACGCTTCGGCACAGTCGGTTTGGACCGTTCAATACCATAAGACCATGCCAAATTAAGACCTTCGCAGACACCCAAAGTTCAGCAAGCAAAGGGGTCGAGACACCGACATACTTGAAGCTAATTACAATCACCAGCATTATTGTGGATCGGACCACTAACAGACCCAAGGCGTGAAGAATTGTGAACAGAACCACCGGAGATAAGAGTACACCGGGCCGCAGGAGCTGAAGTCCATTGAACGAAAATAGGGCCAGAGGTGACCATGGAATCTGAGGAAGAAGGATTGGCAGAGACACTGGCGAACCAGTGTATCTGACACCCCAAAAATTTTTTAATTTTTTTTTATAAATTTAATATAAAATATTTAAAAATAAAATAAATATTTTTTTAAAAAAAATATGGGTACCTTTAAACATAAACCGACACCCATTATTTAATTTCATCTGGTTAAATTTTTTATATGCAATATCTAGTTTTGACACCCTAAAATAATTTTTCTCTAAATTTGACACCTAAAATTTTTTTTTAGCTCTACCCTGGACAGAGATGAAATGTTGAGCCCAAACTTTGCTAAGTTGAAACAAATGGTCGTTCTGAATGTCAGCACCAGTGAAGATGAGCGAGTTCCGACCCTTCCAAACCTGCCAGATGAGTGAAGAAAAATAGACACACCAAGGGATATTAGTTCCAGCAAAGAGACGGTTAGAGCTAGTGTTCATCGATAACCACTCATCAAGATCAAGGATAAAAAAGCTTTGAAGATTCTGATGGCGGATGGTCGACTGCCAGAGATTTGCAGTAGTAGTGCAATCACGCAAGACATGGAGGATTGATTCATCAGCAGCACCACAGATAGGACAAAGGGGATCATCCGTGAGGTTCCTTGTGAAACGGCTGAGATTGGTGAGTAACTGGTACTTGAAGAAAATGCTTTATACGCGTAGGAATAGGGAGCTTCCATAGATCAGACCACTTTTTAGCTTTGTTATCCCATGCTTCTTCGGATAGGAGAGTATATGCCGATTTAACAGAGAAATCAGCATGCTTACCATGTCTCCAGTTGCACCGATCGGGACCATC